CACCCTAAAGCACAAACACCCGCCGTGTGTGTGTGTGTGTGTATATGTATGTGTATGTATATATATATATATATATAAAAAAAACACAAGATCCATATATATATATATATAGATACATACATACACTGCTGTGTGTGCTGTTAGTGTGATGTGTGTGTGAGGGTATTTGTGTGTGTGTGTGTTTGTGACTGTGCTGTTTGTGTGTGAGGGTGTTTGTGTGTGTATGTTTGTCCTGTGAGGGTGCTGTTTGTGTGAGTGTCGTATATTTGTGAGGGTGCTGTTTGTGTGTGTGTTTGTGAGGGTGCTGTTAGTGTGCTGTGTGTGAGGGTGTTGTTTTTTTTTAAAGGTGCTGTGTGTGTTTGTGAGGGTGCGGTTAGTGTACTGTGTGTGTGTGAGCTGTATGTTTGGAGGGATTTGGCAGATTAGTAAATCCTTGCTGCCATGTGCCATCCCTGGTGGTCCAGTGGAGAGTGAACTCTAGCCTGCGGGGCTAGAGTTAACTCTCGCGAGATCTGAGCGTTGCCGCAGCAACGCTCAGATATCGCGAGAGGAACCTGGCGGAGCTTCTGTCTAGAGCTCCCTGGGTCCTCTCCTGCCTCCCTCCATGCTGCTGTGGGCCGGTGAGGTAGATCTTTGGTCTCCCTGCCGGCCCATGGAGGCTTAGAGCAGAGCCGGCACTCAGATAGCGCCGGCTCTGTGTGTGTGTGTGTGTGTGTGTGTATGTGTATATATATATACACACACATACATACACTCACAGACACAAACACACACAGACACACACTCACAGACACACACAAACACACTCACACACAAACACACACAGACATACTCACACACAGACACACACACTCACAGACACACACAAACAAATTATTATATTTAAAAAAAAAAAACAATGTCCACCCAGCCTCCTACCTGGAGTGCTGGCGTGGACTTTTCCCTGGGGTCCAGTGGGGCGGGCGCCTCTCTCCAGCTCAGCCGTGGCGAAGGAGCTGTCTGCTCTCTGCTCCCTCTCGCCGCGCGGGCTGTCTGCTGTACCTGGGAGCCGGAATATGACGTCACACCCGGCACACCCCATGCGCACGCCTATGTATATAGACTAGGCAATAACAGCATTTACATGCATTCAGCAGCCTGCTCTCTCAGGTTTTAGGTTTTAAAAAAGTCCACAGTCACCACACATGATGGGTGAAATAATTGCTTCTTTAAAAGCTATATGCTGCCACAATTATGTATATAAATACAGATAAGGGCAAAGAGTTGAAAATAAAAATACAGTTTCAAATCTCATATATGAGGATTCAGTTCCACCACATATTCTACAATTCTAAAAGAGGCTAATTTTAATAATATGTTGTAAGAGCACTGTGAATATATATAATGCAAAATTAATTTAATATTGCAAAGCCTGCAATATTCTAAACAGACATTAAAATTTAAGAAAAAAATAAAAATAATAATGCATAAAAAAATGCTGTGTCTATTAAAGTGATAATACTCTGATATATTAAATCACATTGCATATCACATATCTGCTATATGAAAAGTATAATTAAGGTAACTTTACTGTCCAATGCCCCCTCACATCTATTTTATAGAATTTATCTTTTTCAGTGGTCACCTCCAAAGAAGCCTCTGAAACTGGGGGCTCAGAGGGGTGCTCATCCCAAAAGGAATCAGATTCCAGACTTAATTTTTTTAAAATAAATAAATAAATGATAGAAAAGGAATCACGGAACACCCAGAACATGCATTTTTGTATATAATCTTAATTTGCAGATATTTTATGCCTTAAAGACATATACAGGATATTTAATTAAATATGCAGGTATCTTTAAAAATTAATCAAAGTTAAAAAAAATAAATAATAAATATATTTTACACCACAATATAAACAGCTTTGTTAAACAGATTTAAGTACAAGTACTTATGACAAGAAATATACAGAATACGTTTACAGCAGGCAGGTTTAGCATAAATGCAAAGTTGTTGTTTTGGGGGATTTATTATTGCCCAAGAAATCTCTGAACATATTCAGAATTTTTAAGAGCAGCAAGTAAGACAGCAGATTGCAATGGACACCATTACAATATTGCTTTGCCGATTGAGGTCAGAGATTTAAAGAATAAATATTCTATAGCTGGCTAGACCACTGGCTTTTAATGAACAGTTTGCCCAACACTTATAAATAGTTTGTAATACTGCACATTATAGCTGTGACAACATAATACACAGGGTAACAATGCTATGTCACTGTTTAATAGACTTACCCAGTATTTAAGGACGACATGTTTCTTGCAAAGTCATTGGGACTTTGAGGGAGGTTCTAACTATGTTTAATTAATTAACTTACTAAAGAAAAAGAAAAAAGAAGAGGTTTTGTTTTTCCCCTGCAAGTGAGTTTTCAGCGCAAGGTCATTTTGTGTTCACAGACTATTCGGATTTTAAAAAAGCTGTTCTTTATCTCACATTATGAACAGCCTTGTAATTCCTATCCACACTAAAAGTTGGCTTTTAAATGTTATTGTTTTAACTTTAATATTTCATAGTTAATACAGAGGATAAAGTAATTTAAAGAAAGTATATTAATTGATAAGATTTCATTTATCTATTTTGGTCCACTGTTCACTGATCTCGAGTCTCAGTCTGGTGTTCAAACAGTTTTTCTTACGATACGTCGTGAGTTTATATCCACAAGTGCATTTTGCTTTGTGGTAACAAACTGAAAGCCTGGCATTGTAATACGTGTATGGACATGCTTATAACAAAGCATGGGCCCTCTCCTCATGTAGTTGGTCATTAACAGGCACTTTGATGCAATGTGTCTACCAACGCTTTTCTGTGGTCACTGGATCACATTGCATACCCTATCTCTCAGTCATGATGCAGAGTTTATGCTTGCAAGGATATCCAGACCTCATCCACCTGGTATCCGCATAAATACTCCTATCGTTTACAGGGGTTAATTACATAATAACCATTGAGGGTAATATGTTGGTTGTTCTTCCTATAGAGGAAAGATAGACTTGCCCTAAAAGCTTTTTCATGGCTAGGACAAAGTCTTATTGAGAGAGATAATGTACTTCTGACTCCTAAAAAGGAATATTGGTGGTCACAATATGGGAAATACTGTAACTCATGTTTTGGCTTATTGCCACATTACTGATGTACTGTTTATTGAAAAATAATTTTGAATTACTATATATTGGAAGTGTGCCAACATCTCATGGTTATAAATATGTTTTTGTATGTGTTGATGCATGTACCAGGTTTACTTGGATATATCCTGTGCGAAGTGCAACCTCTGATACCACGTTTTCTAGTCTCACTTCCTTAGTATACATTTGATAATCCCAGGACCATCCATTTGGATGGTGGTCCTACACTTACTGCAAAGGAAACCTAAAACTGGGCAACCACATTTGGGTTACTTTGGGATTTCAGTGCCCCAACCACCCCCAAAGAAGTGGGGTTGTGGTCTCGGAAAATGCTGAGGTTAAATGATTATTAACCAAATTACTAGTTGCTTGCCCCACACAGTGGTATCTATTTATTCATATGGTACAGATGAGCATTCACAACATACCTGATGATACAAATGGTGAGACACCATATGAATTGTTACATGTTTTTCACTGACAATTATATTTCTGCACCAGGGAGAGCTTAGAACCATTGGTTCTATTAGAGAAATTTAGAGAATTATTTTTTCCAGCCCACCTCACCATGCACCACCACCTATTTCCTACAGTTGGCCAGTTTGTCCTGGAGAGGGTGACTCCGAGAACTTTTACTACAGAGAACAATCAGAGCCAACAGAGAACAGTAAGTTTTGATATTTTACAACCTGCTAAATACTAACAGTACGTTCACAGAACCACTGACTGATACAATGGATGCTGTTAAAGATGACAAGATAAAACAAACAGAGGACGACAGAAATGCCACCAGAATCATAGCCACGTAACAGACTGAATCATGATCTGACATCTGAACCTGCAAATGTGAAGGAGAAGGATGAACAGACAGATGTGATACATTCACAGTTAACATGGAATGTATGAAAAATGAATCATCAACATCATTATAAGAAAGACTCTGGAGAAAACAGACTGAACCTGAATTATCTTATACAGTAAGAAAGAAATGCAAAGATGGAAGCAAAAGGATGCTAGAAAATTGGTTATGGTGTCTCCTTCCTACAATCTGCAGCATTATCATAACATCAACCCTAGCTGTCATTTTAAAACTGCATTGGGAGTATGTTAACAAGTAGGAAGCACCTGAACTGAATTGAACTGCACATAATACAAGTTCTGTGATCGTGAGGACTACCTCCAAGAACCATCTCAAAAGGAGAGACACAGCTCACAGTGAAATGATTGCCTACACTGGTATTTCACAAGGAACCTATTGAGATCATTCCAAAAACCGATTATACATGAGAAAGATGTGATTGGACAATTACAAATCCTAATAATGGAATCAACGATGATGGCAAAGCATGCTGAAAACAGAAAAAGACTGGACAGATTCTTGTGAAAGACTTTGGATGGACCTATGAAGGTGATGCAAGAAAAGACTTATAGCTTATCATTGAATGACTACTGCAAACAGCCTTCTTATGCTGAAAAGAAGTGCTATGCTAATTCTGGACATTGCTATTATCCAGACAGAAGATGACCGGAAAAAGAAATAAAGGCTGATAACTGTCAACACCCAGCTGTTTTTCAAGATGGAACATGGTACTGACAAAACCAGATTGACTGACTATCAAAGCACCTCACACTACAAGACACAGATTGTTAACTACAACTCAGAAAAAGTGGTTAATAGGAAGGATCAGAAGAAGAGGAATATAGATTTCCTACTGGAGAGAAAAACCATCCTGGAACAATATTCTGCAACAATGAACTTTACAATGACATTTGGTGGCATATGAATTTGAATTTGGTAGAAACACATCAATTAACGAAAGAAACCTTGATGCAATTAATAAATAATAACAATACCGGCCTACTAAGAGCAGGTGCCCTGCCAAGAGAATGGAATATAAAAGGCCAGCAAAATCTTTCAGAAACCCGACATCATGGGACACTTGTACTAAAGCACGATTTGCAGCTTTTCTTAAACGCTACATATTATGTACATACCTGCAAAGCAAGGAACTCCTGTATACATAAACACAGAGACATTGCTATAACAAGGAATCTGTAATGGTTCTGTTGCAGATGTGATCTACCGATGTACTCCTTTCTCTTTTGGTATAACTATACCAATCAAAATGTTAAATGGCTCCATAGAATCAAACGACAAAGGATTCTTGCTATATTCTGGACTTCCAGGAATGTGGTGCATGGACCGATAAATTATAATTACTAAAGCAATCATGCTATTTTTTTCCCCTGTATCAGAAATGTGTCAGTGACAATGTGTAATATAATAGAGATACTATAATTAATGGTATAAGAAACACATAATGTGTTAATTACAAAGGTGGATAGACTTTGTGAATATCTGAAACGCAATTGAAGATTATTGCTAAAATGCCATATGCAGCTGCAGTCTGGCCTACAAACAAATATATTAAACATACGTATAAGAGCATAACAGCTAATTACCCAGATGAATAATTGAATCATGATAGTTAAAGATCATATGATTGCAATAACAACTGCAATAATGAATAAGGTTTAAACTTTAGAAGAAAATATAAAATGTTTTTATTAAATCAGAAACTACTTGATATTCGTTTAAGTTTGCAGAGTGGTATAATTAATATAAGTGAAATACTTCAACAGTTAAAATTTAACTGAAAGACAGGCAGAAACTTTACTTCAACTATCATAAAGTTTAATTATAATGATAAAAATATTCAGTCTGCCAGAGCCAAGGCCAGTCAAGGGAAAGTAAAAGAGTATTAGGGATTAACCCATCCAGGTGATATATAGATGATGATTTTGGAAATTGATAAGTCACCTATTGCAAACTGGTGAAAAGATGTCAAAGATATAAATTCAACATCCATACCACTCTATGTATATATATTAAAATACACGTAATCAAATATTTTATCAGTTTTTCAAATACAAAGAAAATGTTATTTGGTTTGTAATGGTTAAAGGTACATAAAACCACTTATACAAAGGTAGAGTTAAAATATAAATACCTTCAATATTGTGTCTGAGTGATTTCTTAACTCACTTTTAGAAATAATAAAAAATTCTAATCATCTTAAGCTACATCCAACAGCCACTGAAAAATATACTTAAACAATTAAGATTCACATCGTTAAGCATCCAATTTCACAACGTGACTTTCCACAATGGCTGTCAGATCTTGGTAAAAAAAAAAAAAAAAAAATGTTTTGAAGACAATTTTGGGGTGTTTCTGGTATTTTAAGCCACTAATAACTGTAGTTATTATATTTACTAATTATATCTTAGGGAATAAGTTGTCTTCTACCTAACAGGTTAAAGAAAGATAATTAATGTCATATTTCCAATTAGCAACTATTCTAAATATATTGATAGATTTTGAATAAAGGAGTATTTTTTACATTTAAAGAGAATGTAATTTTACATACCATTGTGAACAAAGGCGGTAAATACTTTGCTGCTTCAAATTATCCTTATATCTCTAAATCATATACAAGGGTGTTTATTTTTAATACAAAACACTAGAAAGATTAACTATGTTACTATTTCATCTATCATTATTATACAAAGTATAACAAATGTAAAGATTTTTCCACAGATTTTACAGATTGTTAAAATTTTTAGCACAACAGCAGCTGATGTCAGTGAGATGTCTATCACTGAGATGTTACAAAGATTCCAATACAGCGGGGGGCGTGGCTTGGACTCCGAGAGTGATGGCAGCCTAACTCCGGAGCTCCGCACCGCAGGCTCAGCAAAAAGCCCGGCAAACAGCTTACCGACGACACAGTCCCCCTACAGCACAGTCAGTGATCCGTGGCAGCCGACCCCAACACCATGTCACACCGGAAGGCGGCGGCGAAAAAACAGAGAGGGGATAATCCCTCCGTTGCGGACATGCTGGCCGCCATTAAGGCAGCGCCACGTGGGATGCAAGGCGCCGAAAGCCCGACGGGCGCGTCCTCTTTGAGCCCCCCTGCTACACCAACGTCTCTCTATGGCCAAGCAGAGGACCCCCACTGTGCTTGTGACGGAACGCTGGCACTCCGACTGAGTATCTCCGCCAATCGATGCTCCTAGTGCTCGCTGAGGACTCCAAGCACTCCAACCGACACCATCAGCACTGCAGACCCCACTTCCAGCGATGCAACTGCGCCGGGGTCTCTGCTGTTTCCACCCACCCTGGACCCAAGGCCAGGATCCAGCTTCCAGTGGGTGAACCTCTCTTTCCCCAGAGAGCAGGAACAGGAACAAATCAAGCTATTGCAAGAGCTTCCTCTGGGGAGTAAGTGATTATAGCAATACCCAGAGTGTAGGTATCCCTTCCCCCAAACATGAGCCAAGGCTTAATGCTGGAACAAGAGTGATTTACTGGCACACAGAACTCACAATTTATGCAACACAAAACTCCTCCTCTGGGCCAGGCTAGATAATTGAGTTTCTACAATACACAAAGCTCAATTATCTGCTGGCCAGAAACATTACAATTTTATAAAACACACAGGGACCCCAAAACATGCAATAACCCCATAAACCGGGGGATCTGGGTGAACCACATATCCAAAATTCACCCAGATCCGTTCAGTACTTTGGAAAATACAGTTTAATGCAGATAATGCAGAACATATACAGGCTAAATGAAAAACAATCACTTTATAATGTGTCCCCTGCTGTATAGTCCAAAACCACTGCACGATGTCTCTGTGCACCAAATACTGGCGAGATGGCACCGTGTTGAAAAGTCCAAACAGTGTCTGTGAGTTAAAATGGCCGCCATCCATTGTTCTCACCATGTGCTTCTGATACAGGAAATGGTGGCCACCCAGTAACTCCACAGTATGTCCCTAGATGGTTCTTAAAGGGCCAGCAGCAGCACAACACAAATCCATTATGCCCAAATCATGTCTTTAAAGGGCAATACATCCCAGGGGCCATAGTCACAGGGCAAGAGGCGGGCAAGCAGTCCTCTCCAGGCACAAGTGGCAAAGGGCACTTCGTCACAGTGCTATACTGCAGTCGCTGGAGGAGGTAAAGGGGTACCTGGCAGGGGAGATAGAGCGCACGGCCAGGGAGGTGAAGGACGAAATCCAGGCCATTGGAGTCAGTACGGAGGCCCTGGAAAGCAGATTGGAGGAGGTAGTGACAGCTCACAATTCCACCACCACGGCCACCAATGCACTTCTGACCAGGGTAGCTGCACTGGAAATGGAGCTGGAGGACAGCTCCAACAGAACAAGGCGCAACAATATGTGCGTACGCGGCTTACCAGAAGAGGTACAAGATGGCGACTTAGAACAAGTAATGGCGGAATGTTTCTGCGCCAGTCTGCCACAGATCCCGGACCACTTGTGGCACATTGACAGGATCCACAGAGCACTCCATGCGAAGGGCCCACAAAATAGTCCCCCCAGAGATATAATCATCAGATGGCACTTTTACTCCACAAAGGAAGCCATACTTAAACGGAGCAGGAACCACCAATACACCTACAAAGGGAAGGAGCTCCAGATCTATCAAGATATCGCCCCAGCAACCCTGGCGAGAAGGAGGGAATGGAAACCCGTCGCGGACCTCGTCAGAGCAAAAGGCCTACGCTTCGCCTGGGGATTCCCCTTTAAAATGCTGATCTTCAATGGCCCGAGACCTACAGTCCTGTTGCCGTCCATGGACCCCAGGGGGGTCCTTCGTGACCTGGGCATCCACGTACCAGATGACCTCACCCTGCCACAGAGAGGCCCCAGGGCACTGGACCTCCTTCCCAGGGACTGGACTGAGTATGGGTCGCGCCCCACCTAGGCAGAGGCGGTGGAGGCCCGTGATGGAAAGACACGCGTCACGGACAGTGGGACACGCAAGTTGCTTTTATTATTGCATGCTGACTTTAAAAAAAAATTTTTTTTACTCAGGACACTAACGCTGACATTACAGTTATGACATGGGGGACAGCTGGGGCACGGGGGTCACGGCACTAGGAGACGGGGGGAGGGGGGGAAACGGCAGGGGGTATCTATTAACAAAAATGTGTGTATGTATGTATGTGTGTGTATATATATATATATGTATATGTATATATATGTATAAAAATTATAAAAAAAACAACAACAAAAAACAAAAAAAACCACACATACCGCCTTAGGCATGGGATACCTCGAATGCTACGGTACTACCCCCACAGCAGGCTTGGGGATGGCTGTCCCTCTCTTGTCCAGGCGAGGGAAGAACCTGCGGTGGATGGGAGGGAGGCCCCCTATAGCGCATACCTATGACAATATGGCCGGGTCCGGGGTCCCAAGGAGGCAAAGGGGGGAAGCGGGGCTACCCAATACTAGGCTTCCACATGGCGTACGTCACAAACACTACTATACAAAAAAAAAACACAATCTATCTGTACGTATATATAAAAAATAAATAAATAAATAATAAATAAATAAATAAAAAAATTAAAAAAAAAACAAGGGGGGGATCCGACTTATGACATACTACGGTCCTAGTGGACCTGACGAGATGACGGGGATGGGGGGGCAGGCCAGACCAGAGGTGAGCTAAAGTGAGGGAGGAATGGGCGAGACAGCCTGCAGAGCAGGGCTGTGGGGTGCGGACCTCCCCCCCCCCCACCGGGTGACCTACACCCCCCCCTTGGGTGAGGGCTTGGCAGCGGGACCCTACCACCTTGACAGCAATCCATATAAAGGGAAGGTAGTCAAAGGCGGACGCAAATCAGAAGTGAGAACCAGGTCTGAGGTAACAAACAGGAGTGAAGGACATTAAAGTTACAATGTAGACACCCCCCCCCCCCAGAGTTGGATGAACAGTGCATAGTGGACACGCTCCTAAGAGCGGGTGACAGGGAATACCCCATGACACGACCACGCAGGACTAGATAGAAAGTTGTCAAGAGCCTGACCACGGTGCTCGTTGGCTGTACACCCGCCCCGCCTGAGACTCCCTCTCGGCGCGGCGAGTGGCCACCCCCGATCGCCTGGCGGACTATAAGACCGGGATGTTAGATCCGAAGAGACAAAGGATCGTGAGGAATCAACCTCAGACACACCTAGGTTATGGTTGTATCTGTTATGTTCTTACGTTACCGATGCAAGTTTTCTTAACCCTTTTTGTTTCTTTCCCTATCCCTTCCCACACCCTTACCACGATGAGGTTCACCCGACACCTACGGGGGGGCCGCTGGATCGCACGCCACACGCTGGGAGACGCACAGCGCCACGAGCAGGCCGCACGCCGAAGCACGAGGTACAACACCACACTACACACAATACAACATGGCGCTTAAACTTACATCACTAAACGTCAACGGCCTCAATGTCCCGAATAAACGCAGACTGCTAATGAGAGAGCTACATAGACATAGGGCAGATATAGCGTTCATTCAGGAGACCCACATACCGACCACATCTAAGATACAAATCACAGACCACGTCTACACGCGAGCTTATGCAGCAAGAACACTCCGTAAAACAAGAGGGGTAGAAATAGTTATACATAAACGATGTCCACTGGTGATACAAGCCATACAGAGGGACCCGGAAGGCAGGCACATAATAATTACGGGAACAATCAACTCCACTACATACCACCTCGTTAATGTATACGCCCCCAACACCCCAGAAGTACTATTCTGGAAGACACTAGAAACTTTAATAACCTCCCTGACAGGGGGCATACTGCTCCTAGGAGGGGACATGAACGCAGCGCCGTATCCCGCGGTTGACCGCAGCGGTAGGGCGGGCCAGCCAAGATCGCAGGGTATGGGGGGACAGGACTGCCTCTTTAACAAATTCCTCCAGAGCACGGGGCTTTTGGACCCCTGGAGACTGCAGCACCCGAGCACACGTGATTATACCCACTACTCAGCAGTACACTCCACATACTCTAGAATAGACCTATTCCTCAAAAACCAGCAAGGCATGAGATGGGTTGAGACGACAGCAATTAACCAAATATCGTGGTCAGATCACACTGACATCACACTAACCCTGAAGACACCAGGACCACAGACCCCGGGGAGCTGGAGACTAAATAACTCCCTTCTTAAGAACCCGGAGGTCCTGGGGCAGCTCCAGACTGAAATAGCCAACTACTTTCAGCTTAATGCCACGGAGGACTTATCCTCGACCACAATATGGGCAGCCCATAAGGCAGTTCTCAGGGGGACCATAATAAAAATAGCGACCTACCTTAAAAAACAAAAATTAGCCAAACTCACAGAACTGCAGACGGCACTGCGCACAAAGGAAATGCAACATAAACAGAACCCGACACAGAACAAGCTGGACGAAATACAGAATATCAGACGTACCCTGAGAGACCTCCTCTTGGACGAGGTGAGCAGGGATCTCACCTGTTCAAGAAGACTCTTCTATGAGAAGTCCAACAAGATGGACACGTTGTTAGCTAGGGCCCTCAGACCCAAACAAAAACACAAGCACATTACGTCCGTCACCAACGACAGGGGCCAAACCCTCACATCCCCACAGGCAATTGCAGAGGAATTCACAAACTTTTTACAAAAACTATATAACCACTCGCCCGGACTGGACGG